ATATCTTTAATTAATTAAATCCATACCTGATTTTTGAATTTGCAAACTATTTACCTTACTTTTGAATTGTGGTAAAGAATACACCTTAGATATGAATTTTTCCCATAACTTGGACCATCCGAGAGTGTTGGGTCACGAGCAACATTAGCCCAATTAAGTTGCTTCTAGTGGCCCCAAGTTGGTTTCGGGTCGAGCCATCGCTAATGTATCGATATAATTTATCCAACAACGATTTTACATCATCGCTCGAATTTATTGGGTATCAAAAAATCCAACAGTTCCCCACATCCTAAACATACCAAAATTATCTACTAATGGGATGGTATTCCAAATGATATTTAATCGGTGCATGACTTCAAGTGCAGTGATGTTATCCATGTAGATTCGAGATTTTTGGCCAACCACTTGGGCTCCAAGATCACCAACATGAGAGTAATAAAGATCAGAATGCATGGATATTACCTCAATTCCATTTATGAAAGCATATGTTTTACATGACAGGCTATGTTCCGGAGAAAAGATTTTGTCCAAAGTTCAATTTTCTCCTATATTGATGCAGTATTCCTTAACGAAAGATTTTACACCAAGTGCATCAGCAGTTATCGAAGCACTAAAGTTACTGAGGAGGGTGTAAGGCCCAGCTTGGACAGTGAAAAAGTCCATNTTTACCTCTTTTTCATTTATGAAAGCATATGTTTTATATGACAGTCTATGTTCCTTTGTAAAGATTATGTCCAAAGTTCGATTTGCTCCTATATTGATGCAGTATTCCTTAACGAAAGATTTTACACCAAGTGCATCAGCAGTTATCGAAGCACTAAAGTTACTGAGGAGGGTGTAAGGCCCAGCTTGGACAGTGAAAAAGTCCATAGACTTTTCAAAACTCCAGTATGAACCCCGACTAAAGTGAAAGCGAATAAATTTGTGACCTGGGCTTAATCGGAAAGTATATGAGAATTGTGTTCGAGAGATTCGTGCTGTCTTGTAGGGAACAGGATCTTTGGAAACTAAATTATGGACGACGCTTGAGCTGGTGGATGAGCCCTTTATTTGTGGCGAGGAAGTAGATTTTGATTTTATATCTCCAATCCATTCCCTGCTATCGAAATTTGGGGCTTTAAATCAACCAAAATCGAGCTCAGATTAAACCAAACGAACCACCACAATGTCAACCAAGCTCCTCCAAGCCGACACCAACCCAAAACCGGTTGCTCCCAAGCCAATCAGCCCACATA